CAGGGCCCGACACTGGGTGCCATCCACCTCACAGTCTCTGCAGGCTTTCACAAGGAGAAGGCATTTTTTTGGCAGGCAGTATACTCGATCCTCCTGAGGAAGGGCAACTTTATTCCTGGGCCCACGAGGCTGCCGATTGTGCTAACAGTGGTGTGGTCCAGGAATATGGGTCCTGCTGTGTGTTTACCCAAGCGCCTACTCCCTGCACCATGCCCTTTGCCCTTTATGGGGATTACAGGCCCTCTGGTCTAAGGAGTGGGGCTCCCACCCAACCCTGTGTGTGCCACAGTCCTGGGAAGACCGGGCCGGCGCCGTCTCCTCAGCAGCAGCCGGGAAGGCTGGGCTGGTGCCGTCTCCTCAGTAGTGCTGGCCACACCTGCTTTTATGTTTTACCTCACTTCTGTTCTCCTATCATCCTCCATGTCTTCAAATAATAAAGCCCAAGAAGTCCTAGTGTGGATTGTGACCATCAGGTGCTTTTGCTCAGGAGTCCCCAACCTCCAGGCCACGGACTAGTACTGGTTTGTGGCCTGTTAGGAACCCAGCCGCACAGTGGGAAGTGAGCTGGCGGAGAGATCATTGCCGCCTGAGCTTCGTCTCCTGGCAGATCAGTGGCAGCATTCAATTCTCGTAGGAGTTGAACCCTGTTGTGAACTGCACATGTGAGGGAGCTAGGTTGGACCTCTTTTGAGAAACTATCCTTTTTTCCCCCTCTGATTATACCTGCATCCTTATAAGAATCTAATGCCTGATGATCTGAGGTGGAAGTTTCATCCTAAAACCATCCCCCTATGCCATCTGTAGAAAGCTGTCTCACAAAACCAGTTCCTGGTACCCAAAACAGGAACCACTGTGGGTCCCTGTTTCTCTTTTGTTTTTTGAGACAGAGTCTTACTCTGTTGCCCAGGCTGGAGTGCAGTGGCACCATCTTGGCTCACTGCAACCTCCGCCTCCAGGGTTCAAGCAATTCTCCTGAGTCAGCCTCCCGAGTAGCTGGGATTACAGGCAGGTGCCACCACGCCTGGCTAATTTTTGTATTTTTAGTAGAGATGGGGTTTCACCATGTTGATCAGGCAGGTCTCGAACACCTGACTTTGTGATTTGACCGCCTTGGCCTCCCAAAGTTCTGGGCTTACAGGTGTGAGCCACCCCACCTGGCCATGTCCCTGTTTCTCAAATTTGGATGTGCATACCACCCCTGGGGCTGCTGGTGTGATGCACATTCTGACCAGATCTCGGGTGATGCTGGTCTGGGAGCCACCCTTGGAGTTGTGAGGGTTTAGGCCATAGTCCCTGACACCACGGGCATCTCATGGCATGGGCCTGCCCTCTCCCTGGTGACTTTGTCATTGTCATTCTGCCCTCTGAGGACCTGATGCACACGGCTGAAGCAGATAATGCTTGTGAATGCCCCTTTGTGCCTGACAAAGTGAGAAACACTATTCAGTATCTGACTTAAACCTCATGACAGCCCTGTGAATGATTGGTCTTTTTGTTACAAATGAGCATCTGAGATCTGACGTTCCACAATGTTGAGCTGCTTGCCTAAAGCCACACTGCAAGTGGGTGGGCACAGCTGTGGGGCTGCAGAGCCAAGCTGGAGCCCTAGCTCACCCTCATCTTCAAAGGCATCCTGCATACAGCTCAGAGGCAGAGGCCCGAGCACCATCAGCACCCAAGGCAATACCCCAACTTAATGAAGGTTCAAAGTGGTAGAATCCTCCTGTGTGACCTTGGGGCAGGTCCAGAAAACTGTTAGCCTTGCTGTTGTCACCTTACCATTTTGATAGTATCATTAGCCTCACAGGATCCTGGTAAAACCCACTGCAGGCTAGTACAGTGTCTGGCACCTAATGTGCTCTATGAGCATGCGCCTTACCCCGCCAACACAGTAAATTGAACCACTGCCTAATACTCATGTTGCCTTCAGGGAGCCTTCAATGTTAGGGAATTGCCCAAGCAACTTGTCGGAGAAAACAAGCCAGGAGCAGCCTGAGGAAGCTGTCTCTTCTCCAGGGGAGTGTCAGTCCCTCTTCTGTGTGATCAGTTACGCCTTTCAAAAGTGCTCTGGGCTTCCTTTCACTTTCAGGCCTGGGCATCTCTCGTGGGTGATTAGAATCCCAGGGCATGTGGCGAGTGTGCTCACCTTCCTGACCTCATCTGCTTTGGCCTCCTTCACCTTCACCTTCACCTCCATTTCTCAGAGAGATTCCTTCACGGCATAGACTTAGCCTGCATTTCTATGTGTCCAACTTTGTTTCCAGGCGGTTCTGACAACCATTTGATCCTCGTGGATCTCCGTTCCAAAGGCACAGATGGTGGAAGGGCTGAGAAGGTACTAGAAGCCTGTTCTATTGCCTGCAACAAGAACACCTGCCCAGGTGAGAATCATCCTTGGCCTTCCCCTTCATTCCACACCCATCCGCATTTCTTCTGGCCAAAGTTGTAGCTGATGAAGATATTGGCACTGGGGACAGACCTCCGATAAAAACTGCAGCGGGGGCTGGGCAAGGTGCTCACGCCTGTAATCCCAGCACTTTGGGAGGCCAAGGCAGGCGATCACTTGAGGTCAGGAGTTTGAGACCAGTCTGGCCAAAATGGTGAAACCCTCTCTACTAAAAATACAAAAATTGTCAGGCTGCGGTGGCTTATACCTGTAATCCCAACACTTTGGGAGGCTGAGGCGGGCAGATCATGAGGTGGGCGAGTCACGAGGTAAAGAGATCAAGACCATCTTGGCAAAATGGTGAAGCCCTGTCTCTACTATTTTTAAATTTATTTTTATTTTAAAATCTCATCTTGAATTGTACCATCTCTACTAAAAATACAAAAATTAGCTGGGTATGGTGGTGCGTGCCTTTAGTCCCAGCTACTCGAGGCTGGGACAGGAGAATCACTTGAACCCAGGAGGCAGAGGTTGCAATGAGCTGAGATTGCGCCACTGCACTCCAGACTGGTGACAGAGCAAAACTCTGTCTCAAAAAAAGAAAAAAAAATACAAAAATTAACTGAGCAAGGTTGTGTACACCCATAATCCCAGCTACTCAGGAGGCTGAGGCAGGAGAATTAATGTGAAGACAGGAGGCAGAGGTTGCAGTGAGTAGAGATTGCACCACTGTACTCCAGCCTGGGCAACAGAATGAGACTCAGTCTAAAAAAAACAACTGGAGTAGGGGTGGGGACCATACCTTGGCTGTCTCTTGGCTGTGCCTTTGGGCTTGGCCCTGATCCTTCCAGGGAGCAAAAAGACTGATGTGAAGCCTTAGGAGATGGTACATTAATTAGATGAGGGAGGTGAGGGCCTCTGGAATCCAGAGGCTGCATTTCTCTGTGGGTTGTTAACAAAATATTGATGACACATTGCAGACCCAGACAGATGTTAATCTCATGTTTAGGAGCAAGAGACACATCAGACTACTTTGTGTACAAATAAATAAGAGTAGCCAAAATGTGGTTGTACCCACTTGTGCCTTGGGTTCTACCTTTAGTTTCTGAATCAGTTGTAGTGTCCTTGCTAGAGACAACCAGTATCCTCAGGCCAGTTCTCTTTTGCCCACTTGTCCCTTTAAAATGCACCATTGTCACAGTGGTGAGTGTGGCTTAGGGACAGAGCCCCGTTTATCTTGTAGGTGACAGAAGCGCTCTAAGGCCCAGTGGACTGCGACTGGGGACCCCAGCACTGACGTCCCGTGGACTTTTGGAAAAAGACTTCCAAAAAGTAGCCCACTTTATTCACAGAGGTAAGAATAAAAATATGAAAGTTCCCACATCTTATTGTGTGTATTTAGTTTCTGACTGTGATGAGTAGCTGAGACCCTGCCACCCAAAGACAATTCTGCACCAAGGCTGAGTGCTGGGGCGGGAGACAGCAAAAACCACTTAGGTAAATCACCTTGTCTGAGAGGTTTATAAATTTGGGCTGCCCACGATATCTGTCCAAGGGTGGGTGCATCCAAGAGTAACTTCTGAGGTGAACATTGAGACCTCGTGCCTTGCCGCACTCCCCAGCTGGGGACATTCTGACAGCTGTGCCTCGGCCCGCAGCCATTGTGCCCCACTCTGGTGTGTAGTGTGGGGTGACCCTGAGGCGACTCACTTGTGTCTTGTGGCACAGGGATAGAGCTAACCCTGCAGATCCAGAGCGACATTGGCGTCAGAGCTACCCTGAAGGAGTTCAAGGAGAGACTGGCAGGGGATAAATACAAGAGGGCCGTGCAGGCTCTCCGGGAGGAGGTCGAGAGCTTTGCTTCTCTCTTCCCTCTGCCTGGCGTGCCCGACTTCTAAAGCCACTGGCCCACTCTGAACCTGCCTGCGCCACAGAGGAAGCTGTCTGCTGGAGGACCCCCCCCCTCCTTGAGAGATGGATGAGCTGCTCCGCAGGGACCCATTGACTTGACTACTTGTGCCCTTTGAGGGGGTTTCTTTTGGACTTTTTTCAAGTTTTCTTCACAAATCAAAATTTGTTTAAGTCTCATTGTTAGTAATTCTGGGACAGGTAATTAAAGGATTTAAATTTGAACCTGGCCTTCTCACAGCTGGATATAATCTATAAAACTAAAATACTGTGTAGCCTCTAGGCCGTAATCATTTAGACCATGGTGTAAGGCAAAGCTGTTAGAAAGAATCTAGCATTTTACTCTCCCTGGGCTCTGCTCTTCCTTACTGCAACAGAGAAGAAATGCCCATGTCCGCTGCTTGGAAACACTGCCACTCTTACTATCTTGTTATCCAGTGGCATGCCAAAGGAGAACTGAATTAGCCTCTGAAGCTTCTGCTATGTACTGTAAATCAGAAGTCTACGTTAGCCAAGTATACACAAGGTGCACCCTGTATGGTGGGAAGGTTTTGCTGTCAGTAGCTAAAAAATATGCTGTAGATTGTTCTCTAGTGGATTCAAAAAAAAATGGTGGAGAAATGGTCTTCTCCTCCCTCCATCCTGGTGTGAGAATCAACCAGGCTTTCCTGCTACCAACTCCCTCCCATAATCAGGAAGCCAAATGTCACCTTCCCAAAGAAACTTTATTTTCACATTGCTGAAGTGCAAAACATAGATGACCATTTTTAATAAGCACAATCAAAATTTTAACCACAGAATGTCTACAAGAATTATAGCTTTAAAAAATACAACCAATTTTTATATTTCAAAAATATTTGAACTCAAATAAATTAATTTCTTAAAAAGTACACTTCTCATACTATGTGTTTGGCATTGACTCTGGTTAACTCTTGTGCAACACCTACGAGATGCTATCACACACGTGTCAGTCGCACTCCTGCACCAGCCACTGCAACGACTGCTGCTCACGTGGTGGTGGGGACTCACATTCACAAGACGGACAGGAACATGCAGTAATAAAATAGCTTTTTAAAAAATAACACATGAATTCATCACATAGGACTATGCTTTTCACTGCAACCTTGAAGGTGGCATTTATCTCAATCCAATCTGTGACTCCAGCTATTTAGTGACAGACAATATGGGTGAGGCACCCTGTGGTCCCACCTTGTAGGTGGCAGCCCCTGCACTCTGGGGTCTAGCCTGTTGGCGTTTGCTTTGTTGTAGGTGGAGCAGCTGCTGCAGAATCTGTGAATTGTGGGTGAAACACCAGTCCCTACATTTCTTCTGCCAAAGTGGTCTTCAGTTAAGGGGCCTGACCCCTCTGCAGCTGGAGACAAGCTACCTCCTGGGCTGTATGCAGCCTCCACTCCAGGGCAGGGTGGAATAAGCACTCCCAGGAAGCTGGGCCCCTACCAACAGATTAATCAGCTGCAGAGTGCTTATCGCCATCCCCACATTCCCATCCCCTCCTGCCTCCTTTTCACAGCTTTAACCAAACCTTAATTACATAAGGCCAGACTAGGTCAGGGCTCGAAGGAAAATGGGCTCAGGAAAACTTAAGTTTGCCCAGCCCTGTCAGCTGAGATTGGTTTTGTTTTGCTTTCCAGCCAGAAGTAGAAACTTGCTTTTTCCTTTTTGCAGAGTTAAAACCGTATCTCCAGTTTTATTATGTTCCATCACAATATTGGGGCAAAACCAGAAAGGTGGCTGGTTTGCTTCAAAGCACAAACCCAGGCACTGTCTTCTGCGCTTTACCGGGAGGTGGGAAGGTAAAGGAGACTACCCACCATAGGGGCTTAGCTCCTCCAAAGACCTTGCACACCTTCTGATAAACCCCCTGGCTGACACAGTGCTACTGGCTGTGCAGACAACGACGGGACAGCAGCACCAGACACTGACTCAACATGCAGCACCGGGTCTGGGCCACGGGGCATGTTTGGCACTGCGGGCAGCAGTCAGCGTACGCAAGACATTCAGTGAGCAGAGGGCTGCTCTCAGCCTCCAACTGCAGCCACCCTGGCACATGAGATGAATCAGTGGGCCTTCCTAGGATTGTGAAATAGACTTGTCATTTGTGTGAGGTTGAAATCTACTATACTTCAAATATAGCAACTGTTTTCAACTACTGAAGCAAAGAAAGTAAAGGCCAGATGGGGAATGAAAGGTAAGATCCTTTCATTTCCACATTCGGGAGCAATGTGTGCGACTTCAACTGCTGGAGTAAACGATATACGGAAAAGCCACAATTTCTAAAATCCCAAAGGAGTGACGTTCCTGGGGAAACAGGCGTGAGGCCACAGCTCAGGCTGATGTGTTCTGTGCGATATAAAAAGCTGTGGCCTGATCTCTAAAGTGGGGCTTCTGAAGATCACCAGTCCACAGCTACCTGCCTGGCTAGTTTCTTAACCTAGACTGCTTCAGAAATGGGGAGTGGGATAATGGACTGGAGGAAAAGCTGACACAACTCAGACAACCAGTTTCAGTACCTGGGCCCTCAAAGCAATAGAGAGGACTGAGGAAGTAGCAGGGACACTGATGTCATCTATTTTCTGGAAAGTGTTATTTTTAATGGTTTCATTAAAAACTTATTAACCTTCTACTGGAGAATACTTCAAATGAAAAAAAAATTTTTTTTGAGATGATGTAGTTTTTGCTCGTTGCCCAGGCTGGAGTGCAGTGGTGTGATCTCACCTCACTGCAACCTCTGCCTCCCAGGTTCGAGCGATTCTCTGTCCTCAGCCTCCCAAGTAACTGGGATTACAGGCACATACCACCAGGCCTGGCTAACTCTTTTTGTATTTTTAGTAGAGACGGAGTTCCACCATGTTGGTCAGGCTGGTCTTGAATTCCTGACCTCAGGTGATCCACCCGCCTCAGCCTCCCAAAGTGCTGAGATTACAGGCGTGAGCCACTGTGCCCAGCTTCAAATGAAATTGTTGATGAGATTAGTCCCACTGTATAGGTCTCACCACTGAGGTTTAGAGATGTGAGACTCAGAGTAGGTTTCAGTTCCCTGGAATGGAGCGGGCACAGGGAGTGGCAGGGCTTCCCGGTGTTAACTAACTGCCTCTGCCCAAGCTATGACTCAGTTCTAGGACCACTTCAAGATCCCTTTGAAAGGAAACATACTTAGCATCAAGTAATCCTTTGAAATTGCCACATTGAAAAGTTAGTTTTTAACTCAAATATAAATCAGGGAGCTCACACACTAGTCATGTAGCCATCTTTACTTAATGAAGAACCACCTTGAGGGAGATCGCCCTGCTTGCTGCTTCTATGGCTGTCCCTGAGACAGTCTGTTCTGTTTACGCCCCAGCAGCCTCTTGCCTTACATCTCGGGACTTTCGGAGCTGCCCTTGAGGGTGTGTGCCAGCAAATACACCAAGTGGACTTCACTTAGGACCACTAGAGTGCAAAGCTTCAGCTTCTAGAAGTCCAAGTGTGGCTGCAATTCAGGATCTGCCCCAAACTCATCAGCCTTTCCCAAGTGTCTTAGGTGAGAAGAGTATGAGCTGTGAATTTCTGTGATGGTGTGATAGGAATGCCACAGTGGTGGTGCCAATGATCATTTACTGACCTTCCTGCTCAGAAAAAATGTTGCACAGTTATGGCCTTGGAGGCATAAGTAGACAGCAGTTAGCCAGCCTGTGAGAAAACAAATCAGCATCTAGAACAGGATGGGAGGGAGCCATGACAGATAAGGGAGTCCACAATGAGAAGCAGGCTCCCTGCGCAGCCTGCCTCTAGTGCTAGTAACAGACGTTTCACATTTAAAGCCTGCCAAAGCATCACTGGCAACTCTCCTGTCTGTGAACATGCACAATGGGCACAGGTTCAGAGAACTGATGAGATGTAGGCAGCGCCGTCTGCCACAAAAGGTTCTCCATGGCAGCCCCAAGAACAAAATCACATACCTCTGATGGGAGCAAGGACCCTGAACAGAAGCCAGTGGCTGGAGCCAACGGGCCATCCCCTTACATCGAAGACTTGGACTAGGGGTCCAAGTCTTGTACCACTGGAGTGACGTGATACAAGCCTTCTTTGGTCACTCTCGGCTTCCACCAGGGGTCTCTGCCTCCTTAATGAGAAGAGAAGCTGGCTGGCTTTGTGATGACCTTGAGGGTGTCCTACAGATGCACACCCAGGGCTGATTCAGGTCCATTTCAGCACAATTTTTGTGGAACAAATTAAAGAAGCAGTAATACCCAGAACTATCCCCACTTAGGAAATAAAATTTTCAAGGCTGCAAGAAACCTCTGTCTACAAACCAGTGACCATTGCCTAAGGAGGCTCTGGGAGGACGGGATCACTATCAGTGGAACAGGTGCTGGAGGAACCAGGGGGTGTCTCCTTTCTAGTCTCAATTGTCTTCAGAAGGAGGGCTCAACTGGGGACGGCCGTGAGCTGTGGTGACTGAGGTGCACACAGTCTCCCAGAGGCAGAACCTGAAGAGCACCACGTGGGAGCTTATCCAGGAAATCCATGCCATCTGAGTTCTCATTGGCCAGGCCAACCACCTGCACCAGCTGACTGAACAGAACTGTGCTGTCCCATGCCCACGAGACCCAGTGAGAGGTAGTGAAGTGGTTGCAAAGGTTTGCGTGGGTGGGAGCTGGAGTATGGCCTCTGCCATGTTCACTCGGGTCTGCAGCCCTTCCCGATGAGAATACTCAGTGCTCATGTGCTCTGGCCGGCAGGAGCTGCTAGGCCACTTCACACTGGGACTACTCAACGCTCTGCTCATTCCTGGCAAATAAGCATGGGGAGTGAGTCCCAAGGCCCGCTCATAGGCATTTCTCTCCCTGGTAAGGTGGCAAGGACAGGGGACAGGGTACTGCTCATGCTCTGTGGCCCTGAGGCCCAGAAGGTTGCATGTTTCCCATGACCCAGACAGTGGCAGCCTTTCTTCCTCCCACTGGCTGGTCCAGGGCCTCCCCTGGGAAAGTGAGCTCCAGGAGGCCAAATAAAGGGCTGTGCCTGGGTCTGAAGGTGGCATTGGGTGTTCTGCCCTCCTGTTTTCCACCAAACTACGACAGTTAGCCGGCTGCCACCCTCGCTCATTTTGCCACTCTAGTGTCCAGTAATGCTGAATACGGCCCGTGTGCTCCTCCCATCAGGCTTTGGCCTTCCTGCCCTCACCCTGCCCCACCAAGGGACTGTTGGCTTCCCTTCTGCTCTGGCTGCCAGTCCTCAGAAAACCAAGGCCCCCTCCACATCCAGGGGCCACTCTTCACCAAAGAGCTGAATGTAGCTGTCACTGTCCCTCCAGACGCCTTTAGAGGGGGCCAGGCTCCACTTCTGCCCACGTCCAACTTGAAAGCTACCAGGAACCATGTGGGAACCATGCTGCCAGACACCAGCAACCTGAACAGTCCAGCTCAGGTAACTGTTTGGTCATGCCAACCCCTCCCCTCCCCACACCCTGAGTCACAGGTGTTGGTCACAGTGGCTGGGACCGACCTCAGATTTTATACAAAAAGCTGGGGACATAGTCAAACCTGAGCATGGGGTGGCTGGTCCCTGGAGATTCCTGCATGTAGTGCAGCTTCAGCAGCTCAGCCAGGTACTGGACCACCCTGACATCCTCATTCACCAGACCCAGGGTCAGCTTTAGGAAGCTCGCCTGGCGGCTGGCTACCAGCTCCTCTGTCTCCTTGTCATGGGTAGGCAAGTGCAGGTGGTGGCAGAAGGTGTAGAGGAAAGCCTTGGAGCAGAGCTGGGTGAGCATGCTCTGGACATGCAGGTAGTAGGTGCTGCCTCGTTTGATCTGTGTGCGGTGGTCTGCCAGGTGGGGCACCAGGGTGCCTCTGTAGAGGGGGCAGCGCAGGGTTTTGTTGTCAAGGTCCAGGATGCTCGTGTAGCGGCTGTAGCGGCTCAGGGCGTGGAGGGTACCGGCACCGGCAGGTGAGGCCACTCTGAAACATACAGGCCAAGGTCAGGAGGAAAGGCAAGGGCCGGGAAAGTGGAGGCAGAAGCTTGGGAGGTGAGGCGTCCTGTCCCCAGGCCAGCACCCACCCAGCCAGCACGCACCAGCTCTTCCTGGAAGGCAAATCTGATCATCATGGTCTTCAAAGGACTCCTCACCACTCTCAGGATCAAAGTGACCCACAAGGCCCTTTGTGGTCCAATTCGTGCTGAATGGACTCTCTTTTGGAACCATGGCAAGCTTTCAGTGGACCCTCAAAATTACAAACCTCTTTGTTCTGCCTGAAATACCCTCTCCCTCTTGTACTTAGCTCAATTTAAACCATATTCAGCCTTCCCTGATCTCTGATTTTCTGCTGTGACCTTGGCCAAGTTCCTTAACCATTCTGAACCTCACCTATGAGATGGAGATAACAGCTCCTACTATTTTTATTTATTTATTTATTTATTTTGTTTGTTTGTTTGTTTAGAGATAGTCTTGCTCTGTTGCCCAGGCTGGAGTGCAGTGGCATGATCATGACTCACTGCAGCCTCCACCTCCTGGGCTCAACCAATTCTCCCACCTTGGCCTCCCAAGTAGTTGGGACTACAGGCGTATGCCACCACACCCAGATAATTTTTTGCAGAGACGGAAGCTTGCTGTGTTGCTCAGGCTGGTCTTGAACTTGTGGGCTCAAGTGATCCTCCTGCCTTGGCCTCCCAAAGATTTGGGATTTCAGGCATGAGTCACTGTACGGGCCTGTTACTACTGTCACATCCCTCACAGAGTCGCTGTGGTGACAAAATGAGTTGTGTTTACGACAGTGCTAGCCCTCGGTGGGCACTGTCATCACCATCACTACTTTCAGCCTAGCACTGACCAGTGGGGTGACTGCTGTTTGTTCACTGGCTTCTTCCACTGGACAAAGAAGCTCCTGGATTCTAGAGTCCCAGGACTATATCATCTCATGCCCTCAATGCCTGGCACATCAGAGCCAGGAAAAGCCAGTGTTCACTCAGTGAGGGAAGCGGTTCCTTAAATACCCTCCTGGAGCAGCTTCCCCAGAGCAGCAGGGACTGCCCTGTTAGGGCCTGGATATTTGGGGCTTATGTCAGATAGGCATTATATAAACAGGACTGACGGTGACTTGGGACCAAGGTAATCTAGTACTTTTTCCTTCCTGGGTTTTATCTTCTTGTGTATTTAACAGTCATTTACTGAGCACCTATAACATCCCAGCATTGCTCTGGGAGCTAACCCTGTAATGAAGAATGACCTGGAACTCCTGTCCTTCACGAGCTCAGTCTGATTGGGAAGAAAAGAAATGTGCACAAGTACGGCAAAGTGAAGGGAGACGTGGTCTCGTTCTCCCTGAGAGAGGCCGTAGTTGGGAAGACCTGGGGGGTTAGTGGGGTTGCTTCAGAGCGGGCCCTTAGAAGCAGCATGGGCTCTAGGGACTGAGGGCATAGGAGACCATGGCAAAAGCCAGGTCACAGAAATGGGACAGCTGAGACACAAAGGCCACACATCCTGACCATAGTGGCAGCACTGGGCTATGGACTGCATGCATCCCACAGGCGTGGAAGAACTGGGGCCTACAGGTGGCTGACATCTAAGAAAGCTCACAATGGCAGTGAGACGGCTCTCCACAACCCATGCTGTGCGGTCTGTGTTCCGGGGCCTTCTCAGCTCTCTCTATTGCGTTCACTCTTACTTCCCCAAAGTGGGGCTGTCCAGAGTCAAACACCTCCCAAGCTCCGCATATCCAGCTCCACAGGTGCTGCCGCCACAGGGCACCCAGGCCTCACCTCCCACTTTTTGCCACTCTATCTCTGCTGGGACACCTGCTCTCAGGCCCAGCATCCCTTGATGCTGCTCTGATACCTGCCCCAATGGTGACAACACTTCTTTTGGAAGAAGCTGGCTATTCTAACTGTTCCTCCACTTCTGTTTCCATAAAACTCCTCCTCAGGACGCCAGATGACACAGGAAAACAAAAGCCCCAGGCTTCCAGCTGCCAGGTGCACAGCACCCCAACTGCAGCCTCACACTGCACTTCCCACACCTGCCACGGGTGGACACCTCTTCACTGATGAGGACACAGAGGACTGGATGAGGCGGTGGCTTTTGCAAGGTCACCTAGCTAGCAAGTGGCCAAACCAGGACTCAACCCAGGGCCTCTGACACATGCTAGGCTAGCATTTTCTCCTGCCAGAAGCAAGCTCTGCTTCTCAGTCTGGGCTTGTGACTGCTGCTTAGTAAGCAATATGATGACGCCTGGTGTTCACTTAAAATGACAGTGGGGCCAGGTGTGATGGCCCCCGCCTGTAATCCCAGCACTTTGGGAGGCTGAGGTGGGTGGATCATTTGAGACCTGCCTGGCCAACATGGTGAAACCCTGTTTCTACTAAAAACACAAAAATTAGCCTGCCATGGTGGCACATACCTATGATGCCAGCTACTGGAGAGGCTGAGGCACAAAAATCACCTGAGCCTAGGAGGCTGAGGCTGCAGTGGGCCAAGATGGCATCACTGCACTCCAATCTGGGCAACAGAGAAAGACTCTGTCTCAAAAAAAAAAAAAAAGCCCACAAAACAAAAAACTCCACAAATGACAGGGGACCAGCTTGGCTGTTAAGCCATCTCTTCTCCCCACAGATAGCTGAGCTGACTACAAGCATTTCCAGGCAGAGTGAAAAAAATCAAGGGCCAGCAAGCCTGGTGGTCTGAAGTGCGGGTCCTGAGAGCTAGTCCATCATCTGAGGAGGGGCCTGGGTGAGGAGAGACACTTCTGGGCTGTGGGGCTCGGAGTGCAGAGCCTCTGCAGCGCAACACCTCTGAGGACAGGAAGGTCACAACCAGCCAAGACATCTCTCCTGCTTGTGATTTTTAAAGCCAGGCCTCAGGTGGGCCCCAGTCTGCCTGCCTGTGTAGGTGCCGGTTCCGCCCTCCGAGTGCTTCTCAGGGCCTAGCACTCCACTGGGCTGTGCTCTTTGGACATGGACTAAATGTGGACCCTTCCAATGGCTCTCAGGTGGGCCCCGCGAGCCCTTCAGAGGCGTTCAACACAATTTGGTGACTGAATGAATAAGAGGAGATGGCTGGTCCGAATGTACACAGCGAGTGGTGGCAGCACCAGGACCTGACCCAGACCACCCACTGCTCCCACTAACTGCCACGGCCCACAACCAGTTTCATCTTATGATACCCGCAGGTGGAATCTACTGCTCACCTCCCCCAGGAATTCTCTGGGTAAGCTGTAGCCCATCCCATTCCACTTCTGGCCCCTCAGTGGACCCTCTAGGGTACAGGGCTCTCCACCCTTGCCCACCTCACCTCACACCTGTGCAGGACACTGGAGGCAGATGCTCCTAGTGCCCAACATCTGCACATGCTCTGAAGGGTGTAGGAGCACTTACTGGGAGAGCAGCCTAATTCTTTCCCCCAGAGTCATCTGTCCCTTCTGATGGGCCTTTTGCTTTTACAGATGGATGCCTCCTGCAGTCTGGATGGTGAGGGCCACAGATAAATTCCATGTCCTAACTCACACCAACCGAATCAGAACCTCGAGGGGTGTGACTCAAGAATCCATGATTTTAAAAACCTTCCCTAATAATTCTGACGCAGCCAGGGGACAGACAGGCATTGGCAACCACCTAGGAACTCCAACCCCCTCACAGGACAGACAAGGAAATGGAAACCAGAGAGGGGAATGATTTACCAAAAGTAACACAGTGGTAAGGACTGGGCCCCATCTAGAAGCCAGGCCGCCTGATTTTGGCTCCACCACACCAATATGCCCCATCTGTATTTGGCCAAGGCCCTTCCCCACCACCTGGAACCAGTTACCTCTGCAAACCAATAAGCTTCCACTTCTGAAAATCCATAATGTGCAAAGGGGAGGAGGCCCAGTGTTTCACCGGCTTAGCGTAGCAGCCATAGCTGGGGACAAAGATGGCCAGTGCAGTCACCAGCTTCCTGACTATGGCCTCATCTTCCCCCAGGACCACGAGTGTCCTCCCGCTGAGCAGGGAGTAGATGGCTGGGTGGGCAAAGGGGTACTGGCGGATGAATTTTAAGGCGTTCTGGCCAGCCCTCTTTTTATGCCTATCGGAAGACAGGCTGGCAGGATAAGCAGAGGGGATCCTGTCCGAGCTGGTGGAGGCAACACTGCTCACGTAGCTGGTGGTGTCTGAGTAGTTGTCCAGGCTGGTCTTACTGATGTCCCGGCTAGCCAGCAGATGGCCCGGGTCCAGCTCATAAGCAGGAAACCCTTCATAACTATTGTCTTGGGAAGAAAGGTTGGCATTTTCCACTGAAAAGTCAACACGGAACCCCTGGTCCTTCTGCCTATGGCGCTGTGGGGGGATGCTCACCACTCCATCCTCGTCAGAGTGTATATGGGCTGGAGTGGAGGGCAGCACCAGCTGACCGTCACTCTCCTTCCCAATACAGCAGGAGGAGTCTATTTGTGATGGAGTGTTTTCCACACTGCCCTCCTCTGTCTCACCCAGCTCCGGAGGGCTCATGCTTGCCTCGAAGTGGATGGCTCCCTCATTGTCTTCTGCATATGATTCTTCTTCATTAATGGCACTTGGGTAGCTGGCCTTAAAGTCATCAGGGATGAGGGCCTCAGAGGGGCAGGTACTGAGGACTTCAATACTGTCCTCACTGATGGTCCTGTGGCTGACTGCTTTGCTGCGAACCACCTGGGGGCTCAATGGTACTGTGAGGCTGGCCTGGCTGTCAGACTTAGAAAGCACAGAGGTGGATTTCTCTGTGCCCAGGACTTCAATGCTTTCACCACTGCTGATACTCCCTTTCATATCCATATCCAGGTAGTCCAAGTTTTCCTGGGGGTCAAAACTGCTCAACTCTGTCACCTCCACTTCCTTGTATTCCTCATCTCCAAGTTCCTGCTCCATCTTGATCAGCACAGACTCCACACTGGACTTGTAAGAACCAACACTAATTAACACTTTAGGAATTGGGCATTCTTCTAGAGACCTGGAAGGCGGCCTGTCTTGACTGGGCTTAGAGGGTAGTCTCTCTTGTTTCTCCACCATCCTGTCATCAACCTCCACAAAGTCTTCAAAGAGAAAGTTTGTTATGTGCTGTTGTTTTAGAAGTGCTCTATCAATCTGACTGGTCAGGAGGTAACACAGGTCTCCTCTGAACATGTGCTCAATGTGGCTGAGCTGAGCCAGGGTCTGGGTGAAATATTCAGTGTCACAGAGCTCCTCCAAGGTCTTCAACTTCTTGTCAAAACACTTGGTGGACTTTGCTTTGATAAGTTTTGGGGTGTAGGCTGGTCTGCAGGTGTAAAGGTCTGTATCAGGAGACTCATCAGGGTTAGAGGTAGTGGATGCCTGGCTGGCCTGATCCTGGGTGTGCTCCATCTCTCCAGGACACAAATCAGACCCCTTCAACTTCCGATGAGGGTATGAGCGGATCTGCTTCAGCAGGTCCTGATGTTCAATGATGGACTTCTCCACACTAGCCAGTTCATTGGCTTTCTCAATTGCCTGAGATGAGTAAAAGCCTTTGTCATTGGCTTTCTTCTGGATCTCCGTCTCTGTGTGCAGCACTGTCCTGGTGTAATCCAAGTCTTTCAGCTTTTTTTCAAGTTCCCCAGCAAATGCCTTCCTGTTCCCAGTCTTCAAGCACTCAGAAGCTCTGGAAAATTCGGCAGAAAGCTCCTGGAACTGCTGCATGATTTTATGCTGGTCTGCAGAGATATAAGCCATGCAAAAGGGCCTCACGAAGCCACGGGCCTCCAGGTCATATAGGGTAAGGTGGTGCACATATGCAAAGGCTCCCTCCTTGGAGTCTCCCAGCACCACCTTGGAGTCCTCCACGAAGTTCAGCTTGGGGTAAGCAGATCCAGGAGGATGGCCCACGAAGGAAGCCTGGTAATCCACAGACATGATACGCAGAGAGAAGTAATTGAGATCAAAAGTGCCAAAAACTTTGGTGTCATTGGGGATGGTCAGTAAGGGTTGGGGTCCCACCTGCTCAGAGAACTCGGAAATAAGAATGAAGTCCCTCGAGAACTTGGCCCCGGACAGTTTTGACCAGGGGTTAGCACCCTGGCTGGCGAAGGGGAAGAGTGGCACAGAGTACTCCTCTGGCAGGGTCGGCTCATTGTAAGGCTCTTCCTCATATTCTTCCTCTTTGGTGAAGGCCACTACGTCAGGGGCGCTGATCATATTTCCAGATATATGAAGAAAACATTGAGAGGAAGTGGGAAAAAATGCGGTGTTAATCGACGCGCAGAAGGCGGGCCTCCGGAGAACGAAGCCCTTGCGGCCTTCTTTGCGACTGGCCCAACCCGGAGTCCTAGGGTGATTCTCACACACCAGAGAACTTGAACTCTAGCCACCCCCTCAGAGTTGTAGCTCCTCCGGAGCTCTCGGAGGCCTCATCAACGTCAAGGCCGCAAACCCAACTGCCCTTCTCTTCTTCCTCCGGCGAGCGCGGCCAGCACAAGAAACCTGCAGCGAGGTCACCTGCACTCCCTGGAACCCACCGCGACAGCAACAACCCGGGCTTTGAACCAGGCTTAAAGCGAGGCTACGGGCCGCCGCAGGGGTCAGCCAAGCGCTGCAGTCCCCCGCTGCCGGAGGGCAGAAACCGTCGCGGCTCGTAGGACGCCACAACCCGGATCCAGCTACTGCGGCGCCGCCATCTTGGTATCACATGACTCCTGGCCTCGGCACCGCGTGACCCGGAAGCGTCCTCGTAGACTTCCGAGCAAGAGAAAAAAAAAAAGTCGTGAGAAAGAGACGGCCTTAGATGGGCGTGTCCGGCGGCTCCTCCCAAGAAAGAGTCCCATTAACCAACTGCCCGGAAGTAGGGGAAAGCGGGGCGGAGTGACGTGGGGGCGTGCTAGGGGAAAACGTGCTTGGACTAGGGGCCAGGAGCGCGGGCCAGTCTAGGAGTTGTAGTTCCAGGTCGTTGTGAGGCGCGCGCCTGGAGGAAGTGGCTGGAGAAGGCGGGCGGAAGCTCCAGCCAAGATACTGGGTTCGGTGCTGAGGCGGCACGGAAAAGGCTCAGTGACTGAAGCTCCAAAGGCCAGCAGGCTGGTGGGACGTGACCGAAAGGAGGCTCTAGTTCCCTTCCTGTGGGTGCCAGGTGGGCATCGCCTCCGGCTTCCCCGGGATGCACCGGCACCCGGGAAGCGGCTGCGGGCGCTAGGCCTAAGGATGATCTTTCCTGTCGCTCGCTACGCACTCTGGTGTCTGAGACAGCCCGGAGGCCGTGCCTTTTCCCGCGCCGCCATGGAGGTGGCCCTCCGAGGGGTGCGGAAAGTCCTCTGTGTGGCCGAGAAAAACGACGCGGCCAAGGGGATTGCCGACCTGCTGTCCAACGGTCGCATGAGGCGGGTAAGAAAGCGCGTTCCGGTCAGCTGCGTGCCTTAATGGAGGCCCACGGAGCCGGACAGCGTGGTGGGCGCCGGGAATCGAGATGAAGGCGATTATCTCCCATTTTCTCAGGCCTTACCGCCCCTCGTCTGGACTATTGCAGTGGCCTCCTGTCTGCTCTGGGACTGGAGTGCATTTTACAACGTAGTTGGGGTATTTCACTCATTGGCTTGGAAAACGTTTGTTTTCTTTGCCCACAGCAGGTTCCCAAACTTGCCCGATTCTCGGAACCGCCGCGGGCACTGGCTGGCCTTCGGATTTTGGGTGAGGCTGGGGAAGTCTGTATTATAATATTCTTCCCTCGAGATTCAGAAATTCCGTTGGGAACTACTGTCCAGATTCCCTTAACTTGTCGTTCGAGCCCTGCCCATCCTGTGCCACATCCGCTGCATCCTACAGCCCTTGCGACTTTCCAGCCTCGCAGTGCATGCTGACAGCAACACGCTAAGGTTTGGGGATTAGAGATGAAGTCAGCCCTGTTCCTACCCGAATGCACTGATTCTGAATAAGTGATAAGAATGTGTTCTGCCCACACGGGAGGCACAAACACAAAGGAGGATACGAAAAAGTTTCATGAAGGAGGTGACACGGAGACATAAAGAGCTGTCCAGGAAAATATCTCAGATGACAAAATTAGATCCCAAACTGGTTTTCTGGAGAACTTTTCTAAGCGCGTGGGTGGAAGTTCCGTGCTTGTTCTTTACAGTTCCTAGGGTCTTAAGACTTGTTTCCAGTTCAACGATAGTGGGAGTGAAGCCAGGGTTGTGTGAATGCTGTCTGAGAGCTTTTCCTCTTTCCGGCACTAGAAGTCCTGCTGACCAGCCCCAAGGTTTGTCTACTTCTAGGGCTCTGGGCCTCTTGAAAAATGGTCCCTTCTACACCTAACTAACTTCTTATCCTTAAAGGCTCTGCTGAATTCATTCTCGATCTCTCTCTCTTTTTTTTTTTTTTTTTTTGAGACAGTCTTGCTCTATCAACAAGCTGAAGTGCAGTGGCGTGATCTCGGCTCACTGCAATCTCCGCCTCCTGGGTTCAAGCAATTCTCCTGCCTCAGCCTCCTGACTAAGTAGCTGGGACTACAGGTGCACACCGCCATGCCCACCTAATTTTTGTATTTTTAGTAGAGATGGGGTTTGATCATGTTGGCCAGGATGGTCTCCGTCTCTTGACCTCATGATCTACCCACCTTGGCCCCCCAAAGTGCCGGGATAGCAAACAGGAGCCGGCTTGCCGAACTCATTCTTTCTCTCCGCACCCCCCCTCCACTTTTTTTTTTTTTTTTTAAGACAGTCTTGTTCTGTTGCTAGGCTGGAGTACAATGGCACGATCTGGGCTCGCTGCAACTTCCACCTCCCAGGTGCAAGTGATTCTCCTGCCTTGGCCTCCCAGGTAGCTGGGACTGCAGGCGCCTGCCACCAGCCAAGCTAATTTTTTGTATTTTTAGTAGAGAGGGACTTTTACCATGTTGGCCAGGATGGTCTTGATCTCTTGACCTCATGATCTGCCCACCGTGGCCTCCTGGAGTGTTGGGAGTACAGGTTCGAGCCACTGCACCTGGCCCTTTTTTTTTTTTTTTAATCCAGAGATCTTGTATTTATTTATTTGTTTATTTATTTATTTTTAACCTATCATGCCATGAATCCATAGGGAATAGATTCCAGTGGCTCAGCCTCCTTTCCACTGGTTCTCACAAATTATGCTTCTCTCAATGGAACAGGCTGGCACTTCAGTTAAGCCCTTTCTCTTTGACTTGCTCCTTTTTTTTTCTTTTTTCTTTTTCTTCCTGGAAGATATCACACTAATCCATGACTTGCAGCTTTCTTCTCAGCCTGGGCCAACAGTTTCTGCCTCTTCCCTTGTTTTGTCTCTTACCTGTGTTGAGGGCCAGCTGAAGCCATTGAATAGCTGGTCTCTACTGTGGGCCAGCTTAAACAGTTGAGTAGCTTAAGTTTGGTAGTCTGAGGCCTGGGTGAACTGGTCAATCCCAGGTGGCACATCACCTGCTTCTACAGGACAGCAGCTCTGCCACTGCAGCCAGTTATAGCGGGACCATTTGACAAAGTGGGTGAGGTCCCTTTTAGGCTGGATATCCAGTGCCAAAATTCTTAGGGCTTTTCTCAAGTAGGATTTACCACCTTATTGACCTACTACTGCTTCGTGACAACGGGCCAGGGCCACCTTCTTCCCCTTGGCCTTCTTTCCTTTCAGCATCTTGGGCGGCTAGAGGAGAGAGGCTGCTTAAATGTCTCATCTTCAAGGAATCCTTCCCTCACTACCTCTTCCCCCACACTAGGTCAGAGACCCTTTCTGATATGCTGTCATAGTACTCTTTTCTACTTGAAAGGCACCTACTAGTTACAGTTAAATAATGTGATATACAATCATTTATTTGATTTCTGTCACTGCCTCTCCTTGGACCCTACTCTCCAAAGGGCAATGATTATGTTTTGTTAATTGCTATGTCTTAATGCCTAATATAGTGTCTGGAATGCAGGAAACTTTCTTTTTTTTTTCTTTTTTTGGGATGGAGTCTTGCCCCGTCACCTAGGCTGGAGTGCAATGGCGCGGTCTCGACTCACTGCAGCCTCTGCCTCCCAGGTTCAAGAGATTCTCCTGCCTCGGCCTCCCAAGTAGCTGGGATTATAGGCACATGCCACCATGCCTGGCTAATTTTTTGTATCTTTAGTAGGGATGAGGTTTCACCATGTTGGCCAGGCTGGTGTCCAACTCCTGACATCGTGATCTGCCCGCCTCAGCCTCCCAAAGTGCTGGGATTACAGGTTGAGCCACCGTGCATGGCCAGGAAACTTTTTTTTTTTTTTTTTTTTTGAGGCAGACTCTTGCTCTGTCACCCAGGCTAGAGTGCAGTGGCGCAATCTCGGCTCACTGCAACCTCTGCCTCCCAGGTTCAAGTGATTCTCCTGCCACAGCCTCCCAAGTAGCTGGGATTATAGGTGCCCACCACTGTGCCCAGCAAATTTTGGTATTTTTAGTAGAGACAGGGTTTCACCATCTTGGCCAGGCTGGTCTCGAGTTCCTGACCTCGTGATCCACCTGCCTTGGTCTCCCAGAGTGCCGGGATTACAGACGTGAGCTGCTGTGCCCAACCGAAACTTTGAATAAATATTAGTACTTGTTGGGCTGGGCACAGCGGTTCATGCCTGTAATCCCAGCACTTTGGGAGGCCCAGGCGCACAGATCACCTGAGGTAAGGAGTTCGAGACCAGACTGGCCAACATGACGAAACCCCATCTCTACTAAAAATAAAAAATTAGCTGGATGTGGTGGCAGGCGCCCCTGATCCCAGGTAATCGGGAGGCTGAGGCAGGAGAGTCGCATGCACCGGGGAGGTGGAGATTGCATTGAGCCGAGATTGCACCACTGCACTTCAGCCTGGGCAACAGAGTGAGACTCCATCTCAAAAAAAATTAATAGTTGTTGAATACATGTTTGAGCTGAGCCTGAAAGTTTTTTGGTTTTGGGTTTTGGGGGTTTTTTTGTTTTTTGTTTTTGAGATGAAGTTTCAGTCTTGTTGCCCAGGCTGGAGTGCAGTGGCGTGATCTCGGCTCACCACAACCCCCGCCTCCCGGGTTCAAGCAATTCTCCTGCCTCAGCCTCCTGATTACCTGGGATTACAGGCATGTGCCACCATGCCTGGCTAATTTTTTTGTTTTTATAGAGACAGGGTTTCTTCATGTTGATCAGGCTTGTCTCGACCTCCCGACCTCAGGTGATCTGCCCACCTTGGCCTGCCAAAGTGCTAGGATTACAGGCGTGAGCCACCGTGCCCGGCCTGAGCCTAAAAAATTTTTCCAGCCAGTAGAAACTGTAAAGAACAACCTAGTGACTTGAAACAGCTTGGCATGTTCAAAAACAGAAGTTAGAGGTGTCATGCGGTGGGAGGAGGCACTGGTGAGTTAATTAAGCAGGAGCAGTGGTTGAGCGCAGATCGTAAGGGTCTTAGAGAGCCATGTAGGTTGAGTGGTAAAATACACAGAAAATTGACCATTTTAATCATTTTGAAGTATACAGTTCATTGGAATTTTGTACATGAAATGTGCCACCATCATCATTATCTAGTTCCAGAAGGTTTTCTAGCACACCAAGAGGAAACCTCATATCCATTAAGCAGACACTCCCCTACCCTCTGCTCAGCCCCTCACAGCCATGAATCTGCCTGTTCTGGGCATTTCCTATAAGTGGACCCATATCATACATGCTCTTTTGTGTCAGGTTTCTTTCATTTAACATAATCTTGAAGTCCATCCATGTTGTATCGTGTATTATTAATTTTTCATTCCTTTTTCTTTTTGAGATGGAGTCTCTCACTGTTACCTGGGCTGCAGTGCAGTGGCATGATCTTGGCTCACTGCGACCTCCACCTCCCATATTCAGGCGATTCTCCTGCCTCAGTCTCCTGGGTAGCTGGGATTACAGGCACCCACCACCACACCCGGCGAATTTTTTGAATTTTTCATAGAGATGGGGTTTCACCATGTTGGCCAGACTGGTCTCGAACTCCTCACCTCGTGATCTGCCCACTTCAGCTTCTCAAAGTTCTGAGATTACAGTCTTGAGCCACTGTACCCAGCCTCTTCATTCTTTTTTATGGCTGAATAATATTCTATCATATGAATAGATCACATTTCATTTTACTATCCATTAGTTGATAGACATTTGGGTTGTTTTCATGTTTCGGCTATTGTGAATAGAACTTCTATAGACATTCATGTACAAGTTTTTGTTTGAATGTGGGTTGTTTTTGTTATTGTGGGTTTTTTTTTGTTTTGTTTTTATTTTTGTTTTTGTTTTTTGATGGAGTCTGGCTCTGTCACCCAGGCTAGAATGCAGTGGTGCAGTCTTTACTCAGTGCAATGTCCACTTCCTGGGCTCAAGCGATTTTTCTGCCTCAGCCTCCCAAGTAGCTGGAATCACAGGCAAGCACCACCACGCCCAACTAA